ATATATATATATATATGATATCTTTCTTATATGTCAGAACATTATCGTTTATACACACACATACACACACACACACATTAAGATATATTTTATATTGAGTACAATGTTAATAATTTATTCTTTATTTAGTGTAAATAAGTTCTATATAGAATGAAAGTTCATGTTTTATACAATAGCATAGTTTATATATAATGCGATAGTTAATCCGTTTTCACTCTTTTTAGTTTTTACGTTTTTACTTTGATTTTAAATAATCTCATCTCTTTTCATCGAATTCTAAAAATATAAAATTTCCTTTAAAGATAACTGCATAATTCAACGATAAATAAATAAATAGACATCTATTTCTAGATGTTCGTTAAAAATGGGCTATATGAGAAATAGTAATCGAAAATAATCGTCCATATCCATATTCAGAATATGTTCTGCGTTGAAAAATGTTTATCCTTGTTAGACTTCCAGCGATAAGGAAGGAGAAAAAAACTTTTTCCTTCTACGGAAAAATATATAACTTCTTTCCTCTTTCGCTGTATGACGAAGATAAACATAATTTCTTCGTTTGAAATCTGGGGTACGGAATTTCTCTGCGCGGACCGTATATTTTGACCCTAGATCCAGTCAATTTTTTTTATGTCCATTTTTCTGTACTTATTACTGTTTTCAAATGAAAAAACTATTTTCGTTAAACTATAAAAATTATATTAAAGCTGAGTAGTATCAGAATGATATGATAATATTTTTGAACGATAATTTTGTTTATATTTAATATTTCTCATTTTTAATATTATTTTATGTATGTATAATGTTCTTTTGGAACTATCGTTTCCAATGTATAAGAGATTTCTGAGCTAATAGTACAATGACTTTTAATGATGTATTAATAATAATTCTTTCATATTTTTTTTTTAAATTATTGACGATCAATGTTAAAGAATTTACGAAATCTAGCATATCGTATCTTATATGATATATTTCTGTAAAGTTTGTATAATTTTTTACGATCTCGTACATCTGAATGAAATATCTCTAAGAGAATTAACAAAAAGAGAAAAAAAAAAAAAAACGTTGTCTAAACGTTTTTAAATTTTTCGTGACTCGTTTATCTTTAAGTTTTATTTCTTATTATTTATCGATTTTAAAATTTTCATTTAATATTTTCTAACAATAGAATTATGATTTATGTGCAAACGCAAAATATTTTATTAATGTTTTTCTTTTTTTTTATTATAAATATAATGATATTATAATATAATGATATTAATTTTGAATTATAGTCATTTGTTTGATGTAAAAAAAATCGATCTAATTAATATTTTTTATAAACTAAAATAAATTAGAATTATATAGAACGATAAATATAATATATTAAAAGCATAGATATTAAATGCTGCATATCTCTTATTCTCATTATTCATGATTTTCAAAATAGTTATTTTCAAAAGTTATCTTACTTTTAGCTCAAAAATCTTTTCATTTAAGTGATGTAGTACAATATTTTATTTCTGTAATTTACTCAAAAGTATAGGGTACAAGAAAATCATGTAGATCATTTTTTTTTTGTTTTCAAATTTTGATATATATATTTTTTGTTATTTATATGATTAATTTTACATAAAATATAGAGAGTTTATAATTAATATGATTGAATATGCGAACTCAACGAAAGAGAAGTTTAACTTTAATGAATTTGTAAATAATATATAACTACGAAATGAAAAAGAAAGAATTCCGATCGATTGATTTTAATTGTTTAAATAGTAAGTTGATTGGTTCTAGGATCGAATGAGATGTTATTATTAAATTAGTTAGAATTCTGAATTCTGAGAGGAGAAATAACGTTATACACCCTGGAAGCCGGAAAAAAAAAGTTATCGGCGATAAGCGGAGCCTTAGCGGAGCCTATTGTGTTATATAGAGAAGACGAAAGCCAAGCAGAATCATTTAATTTCGAATCGTTTCTTACTTACGCTAAGCATAGAAAGAATTCGATAATGATAAATTTGTCATAACTCGTTGTATATGTCCACATATAAAATAAAAATGTGGATATTTACAATGATTTCAGAATACATACGTGCATATATAAATATATAAATATATAAATAGTTTTATTATATTGCAAAGTGAAATAATACAATATTTAGCTACTGTATATAATGTAAAAGAAAAGCTGGTCTTGTAAGATACGGATTAAGGTGTTTTAATGTGCACATAGCCGCGTCATTGTCAATAATCATATTATTACGATTAATAATAATTACAGTTTTTTAAAAAAATGAAGATTATTGAATTCCATTTTATTTACTCCTCAATTTTTTTTTTATAAATATACAGAGAATTTTAAAAATTCAATTTAAAATATCCGGTTATATGAATTTATTTTTTTCTTCCAGAGGGCGCTAATGAAAGATTTTAAATTCTTTAGTTGAAAGATCATTATTTTATCTTGTTAATATTTGTAACAAAACAAGAATTTTACAAAAAATTAAAGAATTTATTTAATTCTTACTTATAATAAAATGAAACCTACTCTTGTAGCAGATGAAATGTTTCCAGAAGGAGCTGGATCTTATATCGAATTAGAAGAGGTACATTTCAATTTTAAAGGTTATGTTTTCTTTGCTGAATTATAATTTTTATTAGTAATTAATAAATTAAATTTGTTTTAATTATATATTGATAAAACTATAAATTTATTAAAAATATTTTAGGTTGGAGGTAGTCGCTTATTAGTTGATCTAACTGCAAGTGAGAAAGCAGTGCATGCGGATTTTTTCAATGGTAAATAAAAATTATATTCTATCATAATTTATTATTAATATAGTTATAAATAATCTTTTCTTTCAGATTTTGATGACTTATATGACGATGATGATCTCGAATAAATTATGATTTTTGTAATAAAAATAGTTATGTTAAAATTAAAATAAAAAAAAAATTTTTTAAATGTGAAAATATATTAAATTCTATAAATATTAAATTTAATATTTTATATATAAAAATTGTAATAATATATTTGTTTTTATAAGTAGGATAAATTGATTCTTCATAAAATTTATTCATATTATTCCCTCATTTTTTCTTTAGTTCAATTTAATGAAGACTGATATATTATTACTAATCATTATTAATATTAGTTATAAAATGTTTTTAAATATAAATCTGAAACTGACTTTTTTCTAATTTCATTAAAAATTTCATATATATATATATATATATACATATATATAAAATTATAATGTTATAACAATATAAACATAAAAATTAAAATGAAAATAATACTTCTTTTAATATTATATTTTTATAAATTATATTTTACTATCACAATATATAATCAGAGTTTGTGAAACAAGCAAAAATTTCTATTAAATAGAAAAGCAATTAACACATAAAGGTAGAGAAAATTGATATACACAGTGCAATAACATTATTACAATTTATTATTTTTAGTTCGAAATTGAATCAGACGTGCGCCCGTATCCAGAATACCATCACGGCATATTAGTTCGGGCGATATTAATTATAAACGTGCCATAAGAAAATGAGTACTGGTCATAATGTCTCGTACACATTAATATCGATATCATTGTCAAGATTATAATTTACAATACATAGATGCTAATCATATAAACCTGTTAAGATGATGCACAATTAAAATAGCACCCCGGGTTTCAGTCGCGCCGCATAATCATGGATCCTGTCGATCGTCGTGCACGAAAATCTCCTTTTTCAGACGAGACGTTCTGAAACTTTTTGAGTTTTATTCTTACACGATTTATTTCTTGCTTTTTTGTTTCTCCTTGGCCCCAATCGACATTTAATTCACTTTTTGACCATTCTCATTTTTTCATTAACAGACTTTTATTAACGGTGATAACGAGATTTCATATTTAAGAGATCCCCAATTACCGTTATTCGTTCGCATCTTGATTGCGCATAAAAATGACGTTTTTGAGAGCGATATCGATGACGACCATATCGAATACGCTGCTAACAATGACGAGTATCCTATAAAATATAAATATTATGATATTTATACAATAAAGATTTCTTTATGATTTTTTTATAATATGTATTTAATAAATTATTTACCCTGAGTCCAGCCCCGAGAAAATCGTTCGGAGTGCTAGTTAACTTCGAGATCACTATCGGCTTGGTCATCTTGATCGCTTTCTTCTTCTTCATCTTCTTCCTCGGAATAATACTGCGAGGGTGGCGATAAAACATCTTCTGAAAGTGAAGTATGAGAAGATGAAGGAGGTCGAGAACCTTCCAATTTTGTGTCCAGATCTTCCATTGAGGTACTTGGTCCAGGAATGGTCACTGGTATAAATTTTTCCAAATCACCAGATGCTAATTCTAAAAAGAAATATAAAACAAAATTTATATAGTGATTTAGAAAACTCTTTAATTATAAATAATACATACGTTCCACATATTTTTCCAGAGATTTTGGAACCATTAATTTGGCCTTACGCAAATTTTCTTCAGTGCATTCTCCTTTTTCTAAACCTATTTAAATATTACTTTTTTTAATCAATAAGATTAATAGATATAATTCAATTAAATATTTAAAAATATTAAAATTATATACCGAAAGCTAAACCCATTTGCTTTAAAACTTCAATGTCGTCGTGAATTTCAAACTTATCGTTAAAATTGAACAGGTACTCGGTTCTGTAATAAGTATATTATCAATTGAAATACAATAAATATTAATAACAATAATTATTATTTTTTTAAATTACTTGTCATTTGAAATGCTGCAATCTATGACAGTCTTTTTGCTAGTATTCACAATCAGGAATGGCAGCTGAATGGCAGAATTTGGTTTTGGTGGGCCACGCAGACTTTCATTGGCACGATTACGTTCCACTAAATTTTTAAAAGAGATATGCGAGAGAATCAATTGATGTAATTGTTGTGTTTTCATTTTAATTCTCTCGATTTTCTTTTTTTTATCTTTTTCAAGTGCCAAACATTCCTGAAGAGAATTAGTTGGTAGACCTAACCACCTGATTTCTTTCTTTTCTTTTGAAATAATATTCATTGCCATTAAAACATTCAAAGCATCATAAACACGTCTTCTAATATTTTTCTGATCGTATTGCTAAACAAAATATTACATATATTAGTTAGTTCTTTATTTTTTTATAATATAATATAAATAAAAAGAAATAAGAAAAATACCTGATCTGTTAACGAATTTATATGAGCAGGATTAGTAAATTCTCCAACAAGTTCATCCGCAACTTCATTGTACGACGTCGTTCCCTTTTTTTTGACCTTTTCACAAACTTTCATTGAAAAATGACGTAATCCTTTACCTACTTTTTCTGTTTTTCTTCGCTTACTGTTAAAAAGATAAATATATTATAAAAAATCAATATTTCAAAAATATTTAATTTTTTTGAATTAAATCTTATTTATTCAAATAATTAAAAAAAAAGTTATCTGTATATATTATGCATATATTATCTGCATATAATTATAAATCTATAAATTAAAGAAAATATTAATCATATGAATAAAAAAAATATTTTATATATCCTTACTCTGGTACAAAATCACCACCCTCAACATCTTGTCTTTTTCTAGAACCACTATGATCCAATATCGGACTGATATATGTTTTTCCACTTGCATCTTTCACAATTTGTTGATTAGCAGATTGTTGTTGTTGTTGCTGCTGAGATACTATTGCCTGCTTTATATCACTCTACATAAAAGAATAAAAATTATTTATTTATATATTTTTAAAGTTCTTAAGTTTTAAAAAGTTTATTCTTAAATTTCGATTATCTTTTAAAAATATTCAAGAGATAATCATTTAAATAAAGCATACCATTTGTGCAGATGTTAATTGTATAGTCTTGGTCAGTACAGGTTCACCAGCCTTGGTTGTTGCCAATTTTGTATTCTGTAATGGTATTGTAACTAACCCTAAAATAATTATAAAACATTGTATTATTTTTTATTTTAAAATTAAATGATATATGAGAAAATTTAAAAAAAATATTTGTTTTATCATAAAAAATATATAAAAGAATATATAAAATAGAAATAAATAAAAATAATAAATAAATGAAAATAATTATTGAATAACTTACTTTGACCTGGAGTTGAAGGACTTTGCAGACTGATAGTTCTAAGAACTTGTGCGTTAGATGACAAAACCTAAATCAAAAAAACATATTATTGAATTTAATAGTAAAATAAATAATTAAATTATCATTATAAAAGATTGTAATCAAAAGAGGTTCAAATAATAGGTTAAAATTCTTATAAACATATTATACCTGAGATTCTTGGCTCGGAGTCTTAAAGACTTTAAGGCCACCTGCATTTGTTGTACTGACGATACCGCCCAATGCTTTATTAGCTGTACTCTGTACTACTTTTATTACTTGTGGATGACCTAAAAAAAATATTAAGTTTTATAGTATTGTTTTAATAATTTAATAAACAAATATATCATATATTTATTTTAATATTTTAATTTTTTTATAAATTCAATAAAAAAATAAGATTTTTTAATATAGATAATAAATTCCACAAATTTATAATACAAAGACAATATAACATCAATAACAACTTATAAAAAATTTAGATATTTGTTAAATTTAAACATTAAATGTCAATATACTATATAATAAAATATTTCAAAGTATTTATTTTAATTAAATTATTTTAAATTAAATAAATAAGTAAACAAAATTTTTGTTTCAATAAAAGTATTAGAAAATAAAAGTGATTTTTTTGTATAAGCAATGAAACAAGTAAATATATACATTTTTTAACAATTTAAGATAAAATAACTTTAAAACAAATTATTTTTATTTACCTAATAATAGAAAAGAAAATAAAAACATTTTTCCACACATTTAATGCAAATAGCTTATAAAGAAATAGAGCATAGGATTAACATGAATATTAAAAAAAAAGAGCCAACACGGACTCATAATTAATAAGAGTTAAACAAAAAATAATAGAAACATAAGCATGAATCCAGGAACAAGACAACAATATTAAAACTGAGTGATCTTAAGGAAAATGAAAGAAAATTAAGACATTATCATCGAAGTAAGGCATGCTGATAATTGGCGCGCACTCGGCATACTCACCGTTCGCGTCATGTATGAGAAAGTTCATCGTTTTGTTTTGTTGCGTCATCCTCGAGGTTAGAATTCCGTCCCGGCGTCACCGACGATCACGACGATCGACCGAATGCCGAGTGAAAATAAAAAGATCATAGGTACACTCGCTAATCTTGGCTCGGTCTATCACCAAAATGGCGACTATGATATAGAACCATTTGAGAACAGAATTTAACGATATACCGACCAAAAAACGTCTTATTACACACACAAAAGTAAAATTCAGCCGTTTTTTTATCGTACTAATATAACCATTTTAAGAAAACGTTCATTTACTTGCAAAAATATCACACGAAAATCTAGCTTCCGCGTGCACAGTACAGAATAGAGACGAGCTTGGCGGCACGACAAAGTTAAACAGCTGATTGGTTACCTTCTCAGTCACGTGGTCCCTTCTGTTCCACGTTTATGGGCACTGTAATCTCTGTAAGAAAAACCTGTTTCTAGTGTTATAACATGCCAAACATTACTATTGGGATTTTATTTTTAATATTGGTAATATCCACTTGTCAATTGGTCCAATAAATAATATAAATGTAAAGATTAATAAATCGAAAGAGAAAAATGCATAATGCATCAAAATTTATAATATTATAATATTATAAATTATACATATAATTTAATTTAATTTAAATAATTATAATTTTATATATTTTATAATGATTTTTATATTCATAGATATAATAATAAATAGGTGGATTAAAAAAGATTATTTTAATTCAAATATTTTTTTATTTTTTCTTTTTACAATTTCAATTTTAATTTTTACAAAAATATTTAAAAATAATTATTATATATTTTTAAAGAAAATTTTCATAATTATTAATTTTTTAAATTAATTATTAATTTTGAATATAATTAAATCTATTATTACGATATATATGTCTAAAAAATTATATTAAAAATTATATTTGAAGACATATTATGACAAAATAAATTAATAAAGATATGAAGATTTATATTTTACTGATTTGCTTAAAAAATTATAGATTATACAAATTTTCGCGCTATATGATTCAATATACATGTAATAATATATATATATATATTACATTATAATATTATATATAAAATAATCCTACAAAAAATATTTTTCATGATTAGAATATGATTCATAATTCAAAATAATATTAAAATGAGACTTTTTTTATATTTATTAAATTGAAATATTGTATTAATATATTTTTTTAATTTATTTAATTTAACTATATAAGAAAATAATATAAAAATTAGTTTATTCAAATAATAAGATTATATCTTCATTAAACGAATTGAATTTTGATTTTATTTTCAAAGCTTTCTAATTGGTTGAAACAAAAGTTTCTAGATAGTCAAGACCAATAATATTTTTGCAGATTCGGCGTTAGTCGTGAAAGAATTTTGATAAGAGACGTCATAGAATCGTGCAATTAATCAAAAGTTTTCAAAGACAAATATTTTATTTATAGTATTCTTAAAAAAAAAAATTATATTACAGTGCGTAAGATTAGAATCTGTTATTGATAGAACTGTCATAATAATATAAATTGTATTTTTAACTTAAAATATTAAGTTGAAAAGTAGTTGCCTTATATGTGTGTTTTTAAAAGAATCACATAGAATACTTCGAACTGAGGCTGAGGGTTCGTTTAGGGTTTGACTGAATGGTAAGATTATTTTAAGCCTTACAAGACGATTGAAACGCTCAGGTTAAACGTTTGTTATTCCTTTAAACGAATTCACACTTTTGCAAGTCGCAACTTAACTTTTTTTAGTTTCTTCAAATTGTTGAATTTTTATTTTATGTTATTCATCTCTTGTATAAATATGTATAAATTTTGAGTTGTTTTGTTGATTTCTTTTTTTTTTTTTACCTGAACCTTTCTATCGTCATTGTATCGTTAATCGACTTAATACACGACCTCCATTTTTGTTGCAACTATTTCATTCGGCATATTTCTTACAGTGTTTCTTGATTCAATTATTTTTTAAATCATTTTTTGAATTTTTAAATGCATTTCTACGAAAATCAAAATTTAGGTTAAATCAAATGTATATTTTTAAAAAGAAGAATAGACAGAAATTAATATTTATAAAATCATGTTTGATGATAATAGGTCGTAGATTCTAACAAATTTGACATTTACATCTACAGATATAACCTGAAGAAATATGTTTAACATAATTTATTGTAAAGCTTTTAACATATGAAAGAAATATTCGTAAAATACATTGTATAATAAAAATTCTTTATATGAATATATAAAAAAAAAAATTAAACTATTGTAAATTTAGAATATGAATAATAGAATAGAACAATTTTTATGCATAAATTTCAATTTAAAATTTGAAATATTCATCAATTAAATCACGTAATTTTTTTAATGTAAATTTTTTATAATTTTTGTATTTATTTATACTTGTTTTTAATTTAATTTTAATATATATTTTTTTATATAAAATATCAAAATAAAAAATTTTTAAAATTTATATAATATATATATATATATATATATATATATATAAATTATATATATAATTACAATATTTAATTGTATTAAATATAGTATATGTAAAATATTTATTAAAATAAAAAATTAATTTTTTTTATTATTTTTATATATTCCATAAGGTCTGTACATTGTGAAAAACATGCCTCTGTTCGGAAAGTCTCAAAAGAGTCCGGCGGAGGTGGTGAAAGCTCTTAAGGAGGCAGTAAATGCATTGGAGCGTGGTGATAAGAAGGTAGAAAAGGTATGTTGTGAGGCTACATTTCGGTTTCTATGACGCAATACGTTCATTTTTAGGCTCAAGAGGATGTCAGTAAAAATTTAGTACATATAAAAAATATGCTTTATGGAACAGCTGAAACAGAACCTCAAGCAGATATTGTTGTTGCCCAATTGGCGCAGGAATTGTATAATAGTAATTTGTTGCTTTTACTTGTGCAAAATCTTAGTCGCATAGATTTTGAGGTATTTATATGCATTAATAATAATATTAAATTATAATTAAATTATAAATTTCAAAATAATTTTATATCAGAAAATAAATTTATCAAAATTATATATTATATTTTTATATAATATTCTTATGTGATACATATGTATAGTTTTTTATTATTTATTTTTTATTATTTTTTCTTATTTTAAAACATTATTATATGTTTAATAATTTAATAATAATATTTAATAATAATTGAATATTTAATAAATATTTTTTTCATTAGGGAAAGAAAGATGTTGCTCAAGTATTTAATAACATATTACGGAGACAAATTGGAACCAGATCTCCAACAGTAGAATATATATGTACTAAACCAGAAATATTATTTACTCTTATGTCTGGGTAAGTTCTCAATCTTTTTGAAAATATAATATCTATATTTTGTCTTTTATTTTGTACTATATCAATTAATATTATTATAATATAATTTTTAATTCAAATTATGGAATTTATATATAAATATTTGAACAAATATTTCAATTTATAATTATAATTAAAATTACAGGTATGAACACCAAGATATTGCTTTAAACTGTGGCACTATGTTAAGAGAGTGTGCAAGATATGAGGCCTTGGCTAAAATCATGATCTATTCGGACGACTTTTACAATTTTTTCAGATATGTTGAAGTATCAACTTTCGACATAGCTTCCGACGCGTTTTCTACATTCAAAGTAAGCGATGATAAAGCGCATGATATATCGTACTTTAAAGTAAAACATACTTGGTGTATCCGGTACATTGATTTTTAGGAATTACTTACCAGGCATAAAATACTGAGCGCTGAATTTTTAGAAATTAATTACGATAAAGTTTTCTCTCATTATCAAAGGTTATTGAATTCAGAAAATTATGTTACGCGACGACAGAGTTTGAAACTATTAGGAGAACTTTTACTTGATAGACATAATTTCACTGTATGTATGATTATTATTAAATGTTGCATATGTAGAATTGTAAGATCGTATTAATTAAAAAATCTTTAAATTTCAGGTAATGACACGGTATATTTCAAATCCTGATAATCTGAAATTGATGATGAATATGCTTAAAGAAAAATCACGTAATATTCAATTTGAAGCGTTTCATGTGTTTAAGGTATATTTATGTAGTTTAACTCATTATTATTATTTTTATATTTTATATTATAATTTTTATAAAAAATAATTTAAAAACTTTGTTTATAATTTATTAGGTGTTCGTGGCGAATCCAAATAAACCAAAACCAATTTTAGATATATTATTGCGCAATCAGGAAAAATTAATCGAATTTCTAACGCGCTTCCACACTGATCGTTCCGAAGACGAACAGTTTAATGATGAGAAGGCGTATCTTATTAAACAGATTAAAGAGCTTAAGTCTGTACATGAAAATTAAATTCAAAATATAAATTATTGCTACAGCTATCGTTAACTACTATTGAAGTCTATACAGCTGCTATTGCTACTGTTATATCATTAAGTCACCGATATAGCAAATTACCATTATTTTACCATTCTTCCTATCTTTCTGTCTTTTACTGTCCCTTTCTTTCACTTATTATACTTATCGTTGATCGATTAAGACTTGATCATCATCATCATCATCATCATCATCATCATCATCATCATCATCATCATCATCATCATTACCATTATGATTATCATTGTTATTGTCATTATTATTATTATTATTATTATTATTATTATTATTATTATTATTATTATTATTATTATTATTATTATTTATTGCTTTTATTACTTTTATTTGCAACTAGTTTTGTAAATAAAATTTTCGTTTAATTATGCATTATTGTATATTTATACGGAATGATACTCTGTCATATTCATATGTTTCCACTTAAATATTTAATGAAGTTAAATAATATTAAAAAATATTTGTTCTTAATATTAATTTTTTAATATAATTATTATGTTATATTATTATAATTATTTGATATAATACTAATTATTATTGTATTTTATATTATAAAATTTAAAAAATTAATATATAAATTTAATATTTTAATTTCAATTTTATAGGAACAATGAAATTTTATAATCTTATATTCAATAATTTTATTTTTATTATAGCTGACGATATTTAATTGTTATATTTATAGTATTAATAAAGAAGCGAACATTTTTAAGTAGGAGAAAAAAATATACAATGAAGTAGGGAATGTCACGTGGTTATTTAATAACAGTAATATCATGGCGGCCAGTTTAGGCTAGTCAATAATGATCAGTATTGGTCAGAAAATTTATTGTTTGTGTTGTTTTAAGATAATTTAGTGAAATAAATTTTCTTTTTGTTTAAATACGATTCCGATTTGGTGTTTCAGTGCAATTGTAGAATAAAAAGACTTGAGCTTAAATGGAATTCTTAAAAAATGAATTGAATTCGTATAATGTAAATTCAATGAAAAATGAAGTAATATGAAATCGTTTTAATCTATGACGATATTTCATATATTTGTTAATAAAGAGTATGGAATAAATAAAAATGTTTGTAAAAGACCCTTGTGGGATCGTGTGTATCATAATTACATACGTTGCTGTCTTTTATGCAGATTACGTCGTCGTACGTTGGGTTATCCTGCATAGTTTACAAGACAGGTGCATTTGATAATTTTCTGTGTTTGTAATTCTATTTATTCATAGTTTTATATTTGTTTGTATTAAATTGATTTTATATAAATTTTTTACTAATATAAATATGTGTATTTTAATTTTTTAATTTAATCTTTTAACATTTTTAATTTAACTTAATAAAATATTGTTAATATTTTTTTTTTCATTTTGTTACACATTATTATATTTTTATTGCAATTAAAAATGCAACTTCAGGAAATGCACTTGTAATAACTATTTTCTGATTTATATTATTAATCTCTTTTTATTATGTATAGTCTATGGGGTCCTTTTCATGTTGTGGCTTTCAACACCATTGTATTATTATTGATAACATCACATTTGAAGGCAGTCTGCAGTGATCCTGGTGTTGTGCCACTACTTCAAAGTCGTATGGACTTTTCTGACATTCATACAGATAATCCAGAAACAAAAATTGAATGTGATGAAAGAGACAGTTGGACTGTTTGTACTAGATGTGAAACATACAGACCACCTAAAGCATGTCACTGTAGAATTTGTAAACGATGTGTTAGGAGAATGGATCATCATTGTCCATGGTATGCTATAATTTTATAGGTATATAAAAATTGTTTACAATTTCAAAAGATATGAAGTTTATAATATATATTGACAGCTTATTTTTTTTTTATTTATTTTTAATAGAGGTAATATTTCAACTTGCAAGAAAGAGTTTTATGGTATTTTTTAATGTAATAAAATATATATAAATAAATTATATTAAATAATTTATTAATTTTTATTTTGTATTGAAATTTTTTTATTGTATTATAAAATATTTATTATTGTATTAAAAATAATAATATAACAATAATAAATTTATAATTTATATATTTTAATAGTAGTTTTTTTAATGTAATATTTTTTTATTATAAATTAATTTACAATGTTGCTCAAAGGATAAACAACTGTGTTGGAGAACGAAATCAAAAGTACTTTATTCAATTTCTGATCTATGTTGGAATATTGGCCCTCTATGCTCTAGGCTTGGTGATAACCTCATGGATTTTAGAATGTTCTCGATGCAGTAATGATATAGCTGTCAAACAGAGTCGCATGTATGTGTATTTTAAATATAACTATTTGTAATTATTGTTTGAGAAAATAATTACAATTCAAACATCTCTATTAAAAAAAAATTAAGTTTTTATTGAGAGAAAAAACATTATAAAATGTAGAGAGAAGATTATTAAATCTAATAATATTAAATATCTTTTAGAAACTTAAATTTAAGTTTAAAAATTATTTAATATAAACATTAATATAAAAATTGAGTATTAATATAACAGAAATATATTATTAAAAAAAAATGAAATAATCAAAAAGTTTTTTCTACAGCTTACACTGTGTTATATTGGTATTGGAATCAGCACTGTTTGGTATGTTTGTCATCGCAATGCTTGTAGACCAATTTCAAGGTATCCTGGGAGAAGAAAATATAATGGAACATATGCAGAATAGTCATCATTATAAAAGAAACAGTTCACGTACTTTGATTTTACTTTCCGAAGTTTGTGGTAAAAGCCATCCAATTTTATGGATGTTTCCTTGCCAAAATCCACCACGTTATACTTTTCGAAAAGATGCGTACCTGATAGATCATGAAGTTTAGATAAATGTTTGATTGCACATTATGAAGTAAAAGCTTTTGTTATGGCTTTGTTTGCCATAAGTACTTTTTTATATTACAGAAGTTTCTATTATTTAAGTACGATTAATGAATTAAAACATCATACATCATGATATATGAAAAACAAAGATTTACATAATTACAATTGTTTATATAAACAATCTAACAATCAAAATTATTTAAATATTATATTTAAATATTATATTTAAATATTATTGAAAACATTTTATTATCTAAAACTAAAGAGTTTATAGTATTTTAATTTTTTAAAATAAACTTACATTAAGTTACAGAAATAAAAAAAATAAATATAGGAGAAAAGGTATTTTAATATTTAAATTTATATTTTTATTTTATTGTTGTTGAATTTATTATTTAATTTTTTATCAGAATGTAGTTCAAAATAAATTATTAAATTTTTAATATTTATTCATGAGGCATTCCATATAATTAAATAAATTTAAATATACTTGCAAATTTAATATTCATGTGATTGAAATGTTAGTAATCATATTGGATGTAATATTAGTCATTGAATATATTCAACAAAATCTTAGTAAAACTTGTAGAATATATAATTAAATTTTTTAATATATCTTTCAAAAATTTCTTGAAATGTCATTTTTTTAAATGTTTTATTTTAAAATATTTCAATTGTACTAGTCTTCAATTTTTTAAGAATATTAATATCATTCGGTTGTATTTAAATAATATGAAAAATGTATATTTTTTTTATGATATTTATATATGTTATAAAATTATTATACATAAAAAAGTATTATATTATAAGAAAAGATAGATTAAAAGAAAAACAAGAAATTTTGTTTAAAAAAATTTAAGATATAAATTTCATAGACAAGCAGCCATTAAACCAGCAACATTTTCAAAATCTATTTTTTCTGTAATATTTTTTGTCTTGATATTTTCATCTTGATTGGCGATAAAAATAATAGATTTGCTTTCTTCTTTCCATCCATATTTTTTTACCCAATGTTTTAATGTAGGATCTAAAATAATTATTTTATTATTAAATTTATATATATATTTTTATTATATATAAATATATATATATTTTAGAATAGTTTAACATTTTATAAATTAAATTAAAAAGATTTTTATAAATATTGAATAACTTTAAAATATATGAACGATGTTAATTAAGTAGATTTATATTAAACTTATGGTTATTTTGTTTAATTTAATTAAATATTTTGTTTAATTATATATAAATATATATAAATATTATAAATATTATATAACAAAATATTCTATTCTGTGAATATTTTTATAATTCTTCTTATAGTTCTTAAAAAAAGATTATATACCATCAACACCTCCAAGAAGTTGTGCTAGAAGACTTTTATCTATTGTTTGGAATGTGATTCCTACTACATGGCAAACAAATTTTCTTATAGAATCTTGAAATCCTACAATTCTATCACAAAGATCAGACATAGAAAGGACTCTATCCCAAAAATGTTGAAAGTCACATTGTTCTAAAATGTCTCCCAAATACATAATTTGATTAATAGGGCTTTCTTGCATCTGTAAAATAATTTTTATTTAATTAGTTTTTAAATTAATAATAAGGAATTAATTTTTCTAATAATGATTAGAAAAATATCAAAAAATTAAAATAAAACGTGTAAATGTATTTCATTATTATATATATTATATATTATATATATTTATATTTTTTATTTACTTATATTTAATACATTTATATACTTTTTTCTTTTATTTTTTACTTTTTTCTAATCAAAATTATATTTGATCTATATTTATATTATAAATAAAAATATTTATTAATGAAAATATTATTAAACTTATAATAAAATGAAAAACTTACAATTCGTTCACTGAGAAGACATTTACAAAGGACAAAATCAGTATGAGGAAGATTTGTTAAAGCTTTTAACAATATTTGACACGTAATATCCATGTTAAATCTATGTGGATTTAATTGATACAGTTTCAAAACTGCTAAATTAGCCTCCAAATCGTATGCATTTTCTCTTGATTGTATTTCAACATATTTTTCTAGAGTTGCTAAATGATCTGGATTATATCTGAAATTTATTTTACTTAAAATAAAGTAGATATTTATGTTTGTAATATTTAACATGCATGTTTAATATTAACAATTGTATAAAATATATTGTATAGTATATTATTTATAGTAATATTTATAATTACTATATAAGATAAAAGTATAATCAATATTTAAAAAAAAATGTAAAATAAATTAATAATTAAATTTTGAAGAAATAAATTTAATTTTCAAATATTTTTCTTATTATTAAGATAAATTATAAAGAATGAAATGAATTTGATTAAATATTTAAATAATAAATGTATACCTTTCAATGCCTTTTAACATTCCAGCTACGGTTTGACGCATTGCTTCTGCCATTATAATAATAAAAAAAATTTTTTATTTGTTTATAATAAACTAATTTTTTTATTTGAAAAAGAAATATTGTATTTAGAATATTGTAGAATATTGTAGGTTAGAAAACTTAATTCCTATTCTCACAATGATAGAGTACAGCAAGATTGCCAAATTTAGCAACATAAATTGATACCAACCTTTAATTTTTTAGGAAATGAAATTTAAATATTTATTTAATTTTATACAATTTTAAACATGAAAAAAATTTTTTGATATATGATAAAAAATACGTTTGTGTTTATTAAAAACAAAAGTAATAATTATTAAGTTATTAATCATTTACATAAAACATTTAATTTTATTAATTTATAATGTTTAAAAAAGAACTTAAGAATTATTTTTATAATTATCATATTTATATAAATATCTTATAAAACACGAATTTAATAAGAAATATTTGTATGATATAATTTAATTTTAAATAATGTAATTTCTTTTTATATTTTGTATTACTTTTCATTTATTTGTTATTCATTTTTTATTTTTTTAAAGAATTTATATTTTATTTTTGTTTGTTAATATTAAAAATTATTTATTGATATTAAAAATTTTAATATCAATAATTTTTTAGTTCGTAAAAAGATTTGATTCGTAAAAAAATGTGACCTGTAAAGTAATTCTTAATATGGTTCCCGCGGCACTTCCCGCACATCCTCTAGTCATTGGGGATGCTCCCCTCTGCCGTGTTGACCGTTAACGAGCAATCAAAACGTATATATGTGCGCGCATACAAAGTATAAAAATTAGTTACGCTAAAAGTTTTTTGCTTTCTGAAAAAATTATAAAGATTCGATCATTATATATTTAATCCGGTTATTATAATAAAGGATTATTTTTTTCAATTTATTTAGAGAAATTTCTATGGATATTAATTTCTTTCTACTAGAACAAAAATCAATCACAAGTATTTATAAGAAAGTTCTTTCATTCTCTTAAATTATTGTTCAATTTTTTAGATTGAAGAATGTTCTTTATCTATAGTAGATGCTTTGAAATTTGTGTGAGTTAATGTCGATCATCCTGATGATCTATATTACGGAGTATACCCAGAACGGATGTAGCGATAGATCGGTGTCACGTGAACCCTCCGGATATACTAGCTTCCTAGTCTTGCTCATCTACTTTATCGCACTCTTTCATTTTATCAGAAAGTACAGAAACTTGCTTATTTGATATACGGTTTCAATAATAAAGATATTAATTCAGAAAATATTGTATTATTAATTATTCAAATATATATAAAAATATTTGAAATTTTATTTCTATGGATAATTCAAATAAATAAGTTCTACTTTATATTTAGAGGAAATTTTTACAATAAGCTTTAAATTAAAACTTTAAAAACATACAATAGAATATAAATTCATATTAACTATATATACAAGAATGAATGGTTTTTTATAACCAAATTGCTCATATAATGAAAATCTATCTAATTTCCCTCACCAATTATGATTTTTCATTCAATTAAAAAAAATTCATGTTTATATAAGAGGATGTTATTTTAAAATGCACAATAATATATTATGTAAATATTGTATTATATATATTGCAAATATAATAATTGTTTAATGAATTAATTTTTTACTTATTTTGGATTAAAAATACAATTTATATTCGATTATATTTCGATTATATTATATTATAAAAAAATATAAAAGGAATAACATTTAACGATAATTCAGATAATATAAACTTAACTAGAATGTAGATAATTAAGCACTACCAGAATTTCATTTATATAAATGTTGAAATGAAGTTCATTATTCATATATGAATAAAATAATGATTTTTTTTTTTTTTTTAAGATTATCTTCTGGTCGATTATAAAATAATTTCCACAATTTATAACAAATGCTTCTATTACATCTTAGGACATTTTTCTTTTTTATTATTTTCAAAAATTTCAAATTAATATAATTTAACAATTATAATAAAATTGTAAAGTGTAAAATTATAAAATTATCAAAATAACAGAAAAGTAATAGATATGTATATATATCTAAATAATGACAATAAAGAGCAAAATATCGTCGGGATAGCCGTCAACTTGATGATGATATACTGTTGCGACCTCTTTCTCCTTGTTTTCCTCGTCCCCTCTTGCTTTGAGTTCGCGAACAGGCATGAGTGAGTGCGCGCGGAATAAATGTATGACACCGATGTAAACGGCAAGGGTGGACCGGAGGAAAAAAAGGAAAAGGGGGATCCCCCGATTTTGTACCCCCAATATTTCAGCTAGTTCGCTGTCGAAAGTGAACTCTTGATTCCAGTTCTGAGCGGACCGGCTAAGCATTCGCATCGTCCCTCGGATATAAGTCTTTTTTTAAACATCAACAGACAAACGATAAAAAAAAACAAGAAAAAATAAGGGAGGAAAAAACGAAAGATTGCAAATTCTCGTTCATGTAAATCGTATATAATAATCGATGATCGTAAGATCATTAGAGCCACCAGGATCAAGAGAAGCTCTTGATCGTCAAATACCATTTTGCCGAGGTTCCATCTAATCAAAGTGTTATACTCTTTTGGTTCGGAAACTCGATTGAACTATGAATTGCATCTCGTTTAATCTGATCGAGTTGTTGCGTGAAAAATCAAGAGTGAATGCAGTGTAGTGCATACAATATTCTCGATTCCTGAAATTCTATTCAAATCCGAATTTCCCGCGCAGCTGTTTCTTCAAAGCTTCCGTTTTTTTCACGAAG